GTTTGGGGAGTAGAACTCTCGGAAGCGGGCCAATATTAGCCCGCTGTGACACAATATGAAGTTATCAAACCCTTTCGATGTTGAAAGGCCCATTGGGATACAAATCACTTTTTTTTTTGGTGCTATCCTTAAAAGAATTGTTTGCAAGGCCAACCTAATATGCTTCTTCCTAAAACCAGGCATTGGCATAAAAGCTGTTGAACATTTTGTTCTTCTTTTACATAAGTCCTTGCGGCAATGTTTCGTTGTGTTCGACCACAGTTTCATCGCGTGTCTTTATAAGGAAGGATATTTCTATTATCTTTAAACTTAAGACCAACCGCGTGCGTTTTCTGTTATAGAGTTTTCTGGAGGTTTTACTGGACCAAATATTGTTCCATCGTTCATTGGCTATTAGCGGAGTTTAATCTCAAACAAATTTTTTAAAGGTGCTGTAAGTAGTATGTTTACCAATCAAGGCTATTCCCAGAAGCATTGTGCTAGTCGAACATTTCCTTGGTAATTCGTCAGCATTGAAATTACTCTCAATATCTTGAGTCAAGTCACCCATTCAAGTTGAATTCTATAAATTTGGGTGAGTATTCAAGGCTTCTTGACTGCCAGAAAAGATGAATATATGCAGATTTGTTTCTTCTTTGTAATTCTTTGAGTGAGACCCCGAGGTGCTTCCTAAGTAACCATCATTTTTTTGTTTTCACTGCTCTGATAGGGGAGTGGAAAAGATGTCTTGAGCCTCAGTTCAGATGAGAAATTTCTCGCTCTACACTTCTTTGTATTTCTTGTCGAAGATGATTGAGCCTATACAATAAGTAGTCGGTACTACTGATGGGTATCAAGACCCAATGTGTCTAGAACAGTCCAATGGTCTGCAATTTCCTCTATCCATGAGCTCCATTACTTAAGTATTGCTGCTGCAAAAACGACTTCGTCTCGAGGTGCTTATTGTTGTTCTTTGCAGACTTCCGAGCGCTCTCGATCTCGTGAGTTTAAGCCACCATATTAAGGCTCCATGGAGTACAATTACTGTATTTAACTATCCTTGGAGAGAATCACCTTTATATAGGCACTTATTGCCGAAATGGATTCTGTTGTGTTGTCATTCCAGAACACCACATGTCGTGAGGACAATACGATAGTTCTGATGGCTTCAACTAATTTAATAATTATTTCCACGATTTGGGATAAGGGGAGCTATGGGCGGTTTACGTCGTGAAGTCGTCTTATGAAACAATTGACCTCAAGATTCAAGTACCAAGTATCACAAAAAAGTCATACAGAGTAAAGAGGATAATTACCTCTTACAACATGCCCAACTTATGTTGGCTGTGGAGCTCTCTCACTGGCGACGGCTAAGTGGATATACATGCTAGGAGAACTACATGTCCAGCAACCGACTACTGCCGCAGCTGTGGGATGACGAGGAATCAATGTGCAATCGTTATTGGTCACTACCTGTCTTGACTTAGGAAGGAGCCAAAATGGTATCACCACGGGCCACCAGGCCTACGAGTGCCCGTCATCTAGAGTCTGGATGATTACAGCCACTACAACTAAATTAACCAAAACTTGACCAACGGGTATGAATATTTACTTTTGACTATGGTTTGGTTGGGTCCGTAAAATGAATGTTTTACTGCAATAGACAAAAAAAACCTTGATCACCTTTGTTTTCAAGATGGCGGCGATTATCTGCAAATCAAGCTTCACATCCCTAACAACGAGCTACACAGCATACAAAATAATCAACCGCCAAATAAAAATTTGAATGAGAAAGGGATCGAAGTCGAATACTTTCGGCCATTTTAGCTGTGGGTTATATACAAGCAACAACGTTGTAAAACCGAAATATTCCGGAATGTCAGCATTGAAAGAAAAATATTTTTAGTAAAAAAAAACGAATTCTTATATTTACATACATACATACATACAGCCCGTTTTGCAAGCAAAGCCGATCGTGGTTTTCATTTCTATTAAATATAAGCACGCATTTACCGTTATTATAATTCAGGCGGTTTGATACGAATCTACTTGTGTGCGAGTGAATTTCTGGTGCAGTGAAATTACAGAATTTACGATGAGAATGAAATAAAAAAAAAACAAATTATTTACAATATTTACAAGTTTCAGCAAATTTAGCAAAAATTATTTACACACTTATGTATCTATGCGTGCATGTGGATTCTGGCAATGTAAATGTGAATGTGAATGTATGTATGTAAGTAAACAGGCTCTCCAACAAATGCTAAAATCAAGAATAGAATCGCGCATACATACATACGTACGTACATGCATACATATTTGCTGTAACTTTGTGTTATTATAATCCACTTTCAATGAAATGGTGCTAAATATTGCAAATATATTGGTTAACGCAGACCAATTTAAAATGAAACGAAACACCGAGACCTTTGGTGCTTCCTTTCAGTTTAAAAACGGCAATCGTCGAAAGCACAACTAATTTTTAGTAGAAAGTCGCAGCTAATACGCAACTAGCATAACGCCGCAAGTAATTAGTTAATTTATGTAAGTAGTGCAATGAAGTGAGAAAAATCGTACAAAAATACTTAGCTATTTTGTAAGAAACATAAAATAACAAATAAACGTTGTAACTAGCATTTAATAACAACAAAAACAATATGTATATAGTTTAGTGGGAGTATTACGTTGTAGTAATTTAATTGTTTGTCTTAAAAAAAACACTTGTGTAATTTGTGTAACAAATATTTACAACATCGAAAAATTTTAGTACTTCGTGTGTGGAATTGAATATTTAAGTTGTTAACACCAAAAAAGTTACCAAAATCGAAAGTGACTTAATTAAAATAGTTATCAAAGACAAAGTGTGTTTGACCGAGCAGAATGAAAACACTAAGGGTATTCATGAAAGCTACGAAAAAATGTATATTTCTATTTTACTCTCCATACAAAAAAAAAAAAAATGGTGTTGTTTCCTATTGGAATGTAACATTTATTACGTATAGCACTAAAATATTTCGGAAATGTTAAGATTTACGTGAACTTGACCGATTTGTAAATACCAAAAAAAAATTTTTTTTTTCCATCTGCATATATAAATGTGAATGTCTGTTTGTTTATTACCTTATAAGTTTTGAACCGCGCACGGAATCGCACGAAACTTTGCACACTTATTTGTTTTTATCCCGGCAAGGTTAAAGGCATAGAGAAAAATTGGCAGTACTGGAAAAGGGGCGTGGCACCTCCCATACTAACTAAAATTTTCATGTTGTATGTATATCTCTTAAAATATTTGTGGTAGATTGCTGGAACTTTGTGTCGAGATAAACGAAATTAATTCCATACTCCTAGGAAAAGACGGGCGGAATTGGAAAAGGAGGCGTTGCACCTCCCGTAGGCGTGAAATATTTAATCAACTATAACTTCGGAACCACAAGTCTCATAAACGTGAAACTTGGTATGCAGACATATCTATGCGATTGTTTTATAAAAAAAGAGGACCATTTTGAAATATGAGTGTTTTTACTATCTAGAAAATAATTTATGCAACCTCACATACGCGGTTTTGCATTTTGTTTATACACGGGTTTGTACTTCAAACGACGATATATTATTTATTGGAGATATTTTAAAGTAAATAAAAAACACCTGCTGTGCCAAAAGTTATTATTACATTTCATTATATAACACATACAACCGCCCTTCAGTACGCTCCTATAGTAAAATTATAGCAGAAATAAAATACATCTTTACCTAAACTATTTTTCACATTTGTATAAAGACGTGGGGAGGAACGCGCGGGTAAAAGCTAGTTTATAAATAAAATGAGTTTATAAAAATATTTTGCTCACAAACAAAATGCTCAGATGATAGATTAAGAGTTTAGGCTTACAAGGTATTTCTAAATCAGTCCAGCTCGCGTAAATTTTAATTAACGCGAAAAGTGAAAAACTCGAGTTTTCGAGAATGTTTTTGGGAAGGCACCTTCTAGCAGCCTCGTAAACAGTTCCAAAATTCAGAAATTTGACTCAGGGTTTCTTTGTATAGTTAATACATGGTATCAGCTGAAGTTAATACAAAAGCAATATTTAAAATGCCACGAAAAAGTGAAAAATGTAAGTTGTATGAGTTCTTCTTCTTCTTCTTATTTGGCACTACAACCGTTCGTCGGTTTGGGCCGAGACCAAAAACCTTCTCCGATTGCTTCTCTCCTGTGCGAATTTGCGCCAGTTGGTTATCCCGAGCGCAGACATGTCCTTCTGCACTTGGTCCTTTCATTGCGTTCGTGGGCGCCCTTGCTTTCGTTGTCCACCCATGGGTGCGGAGTCGAAGGATCTTTTCACCGGAGCGCCGTCATCCATGCGTTCAACATGTCCAAGCCAGCGCAATCGCTGTATTCGAGATATTTTCGCGTTTAGGGGAATGCCCTAAACACGTTTCCGAAATATTTTGGCGGAAGTGTTAAGATAATATAAATTCTATCATCCCGATATGAAAACAGTAATTTTTTGTTGGTGAAATACCCTAATGTACATATGGCTGAATGGAGGACCACCCTATCTTGGTTGCCGATTCGAAAACGCGCTATCTCAGCAAATAAAAAAACTCTTTTAGATTGTGACGGGTGGGAGAGTATTTTGTGACGGGCGGGACGAGTCACTATTAAGAATACATAATTCGTGAGTAAAATTAACTCTACTGGTTTAATATGAATATTTAAAATATATATTTCTGAGCTATTATAACAGTAAAATAAGAATTATTATACATGCTTTACTGTTATCACAGATTTATGCGCAATTTATGCCATTGATTTTTTTCCTCGCTGGAAAGTCCTTTGTAACAATCTTTGTCACTAAAAAAATAAGTAAAGAGTAAAAGTTTTCCTAGACAAAAATTATTTCTAGTTTTTCTCTTCTACATGGAGTGACCCATTGTTCTATTTAAAATTCTTTGGTTCTCAGTTTTTATGCCGAAATGCCGAATTCGCAGGCAAATAATTTATACAGAATTTGTTTATATTCGATTTGTAGTGCTCAACAAAATCAAATAGCATATCCATTTATACATACATACATATGTATTAACCTAATGGTTGCACTTGAACTTTTGGTAAAAAATTTATAGCACAATGACTTCCACCAAATATGCAAATAATAAAACGCGCATTGCCTCAATTTCCATATTTATCTAATGGCGTTTTCGTTTCTACCAAAAAAAGGTTACCTTCTCTTTGACCTCTACGCACAAATACTAAGAAGAGGGCAATGAGAAGGCAACATTTTTTTGCAGACTCGAAAACGCCATTCAAATCAGCAAAGAATTGTTCGTCATTACAGGTGCTTACAATAAAATATAAACATGATGTGATGTCATTTGATTAGCTGTTTGCGACACAATTTAAGGCAATTTGATATGATAACAAATGATATTAAGCGAGTGAAAGCGAAGTGATGGTGATATAGTGTGAGGTAAGGCGTGATGTGATGCGACGCGATATGATTGCAAGTGATAGAAAATGGTAAATTTTGTAGATAGGTGCCAACTTTTTCCAGAAATGTGTAGGGGTTAAAGCTTTATTTTAACACCTTTAACACACGATTATGAACAGCCCTATTAATTTTTGTAAATGACAGATAGGACTATCGGTTATTAACACACACTTGTCCCCTTATTTTTGATATTCTTCAATTCTGGGGGTTAGCAGCAGGAAAAATCAAAAAAAGTAGATTTTCCTAAGCATTTTTAGTTTACTATTATTTGTTCCGTATTCGGGGTTCGGTATTTCGACGCCTTAAAAGCTCATTAAAATGGCTATGCAGCAGTCTGAATGGCTGTGTTTCGAATCGAGGAGCACATACAGTGACCAAATTACAAATTAGGATTCTACATTTTAGCATGGTTCGGCTATTTTTCTTTTGTTTATTTAATGTTTACTATATTTTTTTTTAAGTAAAGCTCTATTCCTAACATTCATGAATTAATTCCACAAATTTTCATCAAAATTTCAAACTTTTTAATCAGAACCTTTAGAAAAAAATTTGGTTGCAGTTTTGTAACTCATTAAAATTTAGTATAATAAAGTGCTGCTCATTTTCTTCTCAATTAACAAATTGTCGAGCATACCAAACTTGCATGAAAAAAAAAAATTGGCAAAAAAAAATTGGCAAAAAAAAAATTGGCAAAAATTAATTGTAAGACGTAGCTACTTAAAACCTGCACTTTGTCGTACCAAAATTTAACGAAGCTTTTGTAAAAAATTTTTTGTAGTAAAAATCTCGAGTTTTAATTTATTCTTATTTGCAAAAAAAAAAAAATAAATAAAAAAAAATTGAAAAAATAGAATTGTTTATGCATTTGGGTTTATTGAACGCAGAATCTCGCCTTGCTGCTTCGCTACTGCGTTGCCTAAAAAAGTGTTTACCAATTACGCATCATTTTGGCAAATCGCAAAAAAAGCCGAATATTTACATACATACCTGTTACATGGCTCGCGCTATGAGTGTATGCACCTACATAGAAATGTCCAATCCACTTTTTGTTGTTTTTTTTTTTTTAATTATTAATTAACCAGTTTCTAATGCGAGCATGAACCTTTAGGCCACAAATGTTAATCGATCTATTACATGAGTTCGCTGTTGGTCAAGGTTAGCATTTTTATTGTACTTTATGTGTAAATGCATTTGGTTGTATCCATTTAGGATAAGACTCAACGGTATTTTTATCGTTTATTTTTATGTATGTTTATGTTGATGCTTCGGTAATATGAACTAATCCAAAGTTTTTTTCCAACATCTCCTACTTTTAGGTTTGGTACATCATGACTCCTACGTCAAAAATGGCCGCCATCCAGTTTTGCCTACTTGTACTATTGCAAATTCTTAATCAATGCGGTAATATAATTTTTGCATAAAGAAATGTACATACATACATACATATGGGGCATTCTTCGTCAACTGATTTATTATGGTTATATATGGCGGAAAACTTTTTATATATTTATTGAATAAGCTCGAAGCTTGTTAGGTACTCGAGGGTTTTTGGGGTCATTGATGGTGAAGCTGGCCATGCATTTTTTTTTAAATTCCAAATGGCGGATCCATGATTGGATCCGTAGTTTTGTGGGCTTCAGCTGACGAAGAATGTCTCATATGTGCATAGGTTTCTAAATCACTTTGCATTCCAGCTGCACGTGTGGTAGCGCCAACACAGGAGATTGTGGCGCCGCAGCCTGCGATTAGTGGCATACTGTATCAGAAATCTCTCACCGCAGATCATTTATACGATGAGCCAAATACGTTAAGTACGTATCTACACACATACTTACATACGTACTTATACCTTTATACTTAAATATATCGATGGTTCTCTGTAATATCGACACAACTCAAAATTCAACAAAACAAAACCCTTCCAATTGTTAAGTGTCTCATGCCTCAAATCCTTGTGTAATCCATGTCTAATCCTTACTTAAGTAAGCAGTGAGTATTACTAAACTAAATAGTAAAGATTGTACACTCAAAAGTAGGAAGGGTTGTGTTCTTTTTTTGATTTTTTTTTTTTTTTGATTTTTGAGTTGTGCCTTTACTGCAGAGGACAATCGATATTTATCATCCTTACTTACATAATTTCCCGCCCAGAATACGCACAACAACGTGACCAACTCATCCAAGCTGAGCAACTCCTTCTCACTGGCGGTCACTTGCAGCTTGACGAAAATGAGTTGACGGTACATCAAATTTTCATGCGCCACAAACTAATGGAACTCACTTACGGCATGCAAAATCCGCACGAACACGCACCGGCGTTGCACTTTTTCAAAGCCAAGCCGCTCATCGAACAGAGCAATGTTTTCAAATTCTTACAAGCCATGCCGAAGGGCGCCATTTTGCACGTACACCGCACTCCTGCGGTTTCCGTCGATTGGCTAATCGGAAATCTCACCTACACGCCTGGTCTCTTGAAATGCTTCACTGCGCGCGGCAGTGTTGTGCTGAGCTTCCGTGAGGACGCCAAGAAACATGGCTGCCGCTCGGTTTACTACAATGTGCAGCAGGAGCGTGAGCGCACACTCTCAAGGAGTCGATATGATAGTTTTTTGGGAACTAAACTTAGTTTGTACTCGCGTTTGCCGGAACGTAAGTGATGTGTAGCCATGTAGTTTGTAAGCATTTACGGTTATTCTTTAGCTTTCTTTTGCAGTTGAATACAATGATCAGAACAAGGTTTGGCGACGATTCGAAGACATATTCGACACTGTAAGTGATACCATAGGCTATGAACCAGTTTTTCGTATGTTTCACTGGCAGCTGATGGAAGAGATGTACGAGGATAATATAATGTACGCGGAGCTACGCATGAAATTCAAACCGGTGAGTTAATGTGAAACATGCGGGTTGTATCCGACCTAGGCCTGTTGTTTCGGCGATCTAACTTTGCCTAGATCTTTCTCAGCACAGAGCAACATATTGCATCCGGGCTATTCCGTATCGTCACTAGACATGAATAAAGACGCGAGCTCAAAAGTTGACGGCGAAAAAAGACGCATAAAAAAAATTTCAGCGTCAAAGACTCTTAACATACTTCGCCAAGGTTTTTCATAAGCATGTTTTTTCGCAAAATTTTTTTAAACGCCTTTATTCGCCGTCAAAACACTAGCGCGCCTTTATTCGTGTGTAGTGACGGTATGCTTATCCTTCGGCTTGTATCAAACTCAAACCCACAAACCTATTTAAACTGCATATCCCAGAAATGGCTCCATTCGCACTGTACTTCGGGGTTGGCGTCGTGCGAGGAGTCTGCACACGGTAACTGGACGGAGTAACGCGAGTCTATCTTGGCAGTTGAAGCTCCGCGTCTACCACAGGTTATTTTATTGTTATTTGGCCCCGATTACGGCATTCATAGGCCGGGTGACCGACTACCTGTGAATGCCGTTGATCACTCGGCAGTAGGTCGTCGGTGCCCCCTGTCGTGCCTGGGCGGAGGCTGCTCCTAGAGCAAGGGTCTGTTAGGGTGCTCACGTTTGTGGCATCCCACCACAAATTGCTTAGGAAGCACTTGCGCCTCGCTGTGTAGGTGGTGCTTAGGCGATATCGGAAAGCACCCTGTTGCTGTCTGGAGTGCGGCGTTCTGATAAGTCTGTAGCTCCGTCCACTGTGTCCAATGAGTCCCCGGCGACCAAACAGGCGCAGCATAGTTTAGAACCGGCCGGCCAATTGCCTTGTATGTTACCAACAACGTTTCTTTGTCTTTGCCCCAGGTACTGCCGGCGAGCGACTTGAGGACCTTGTTGCGGCTCTGTACTTTGTTGACAACTGCGGTTTTGTGCATGGAAAAGGAGAGCAGGCTTTCAAAGGTGACCCCTAAAGTTTTTGTGTTATTCACTATTGGAATTGGTGTGCCATCGACGTGAATGTCTAATTGAAGCCTAACCTCCTTCGTCCAAGTGGTGGAGACGGCCGCCGTTGATTTCGTTGGGGAGAGTGCTAAGCTCCTTGCAGTGAAAAAGCGAGAGTCTGGGGAGATAGCCGTTTACTTTTGAGCAGAGGTCATCAATTCCATTCCCAGACGCCAATATCGAGCATTAGTCAGCGTATGAGATCAGGAAGATTACTGACGACTGTCTACCACTCATATAATTCGCCGACCATCGTTTAGAACCCTGTGGTAGAGAGGATGCCTCAATGGCTTCTAGTAGCGTGGAATGGCAGACGGTGTCAAACGCCTTCAACAAGTTCAACGCTACTAGGGGCGGTTGCGGTTTAGGCCACATGTTATCTGGGTATTTATGGCGTTAAGTGCTGTTGTAGTGCTGTGATCTTTACCGACACCACCTTTAGATCGGCGAACCCCAATTAACACGATTCTTTCTTTGGCTTGGCCCCATCGAAAGTTTACGTTCCATAGGCCTGCCATTAAATGACCTTGACGGCTAATAGTCTAAAAGCCTTCACTACAAAAAAAAATAAATAACGAGCCCTGATATTTTTGTTTCAGCTTTATGGCGCTAATGGCACCACAGTTGCAACTGAGTACGAAGCCGCCGACATTCTTTTAGAGCTAATAGGTGAGTTCAAGCGTTCACACCCCAGCTTCTTAGGTCTAAAAATAATCTATGTGGCGCATCGTGGCTCAGATGATGTTAAAATGTTTAAAGCTTTCCAAACATTCAAAGACTTCCAGTGAGTGCAACGAATATACAATTATAAATGAATTGAAAAAGAAATAATACAGTCATGTTTAAATAATTTTTCTCTCCTCACAGTGAACGATATCCCGATTTCGTTATCGGTTTTGATCTGATCGGACAGGAGGATAAGGGAAAAGCTTTGCAAGCGTTTGCGTCCATTTTACAGAATTTACCGAAGTCTGCAAAGTATTTCTTTCACGCCGGGGAAACAAGTGAGTTTCAAATCAATACCGTTAACTACAAACGAAGGAATACGTGCTTTTCTTATTTCTCCTTGCAGATTGGCTGGGCTCGTCAGTGGATTTGAATTTAGTCGATGCTATTCTTTTGAATACCACACGCATTGGACATGGTTATTCGCTGATGAAGCATCCCTTGCTTAGCAAGGCCGTTAAAGAGCGTGACATTGCGCTCGAAATTAGTCCGCTCTCGAATCAGGTGTTGAATTTAGTTTGGGATTTGCGAAATCATCCGGGTGGCTACTTTATGTCCGAGAATATACCGTTAGTAATCTCGAATGACGATCCGGGTTTTTGGAATGCTAAAGGTTTGAGTTATGATTTCTATTACGCGATTATGAGTTTCGCACCGAGTAATGCTGGCTTGAAAACACTCAAGAGTCTAGTGTGGAATTCTATTAAGTACTCGGCGTTGAGTGATACGGAGAAAGAGTATGCGTATGCGCAGTTGCAGAGTGATTGGTCCGCATTTCTGGATCGTGTCATTAGCGGGGAAGTAGTGTAATTTGTCCTTAGATACATACATATAGTATAGATGTATATACATATGTAGGTGTTTTCATTTGTAGTTACACGTTTTTTAGATGAATATAAAATTAAATTATAACTCCTGCGATATATTTTTTACATGAAATTTATGAATGACTACTTCATTGTACATTTAAGCATGCATTTAAGGTACGTTTTACAATTTTAAATATTTCCAAAGTGTTTCTAATCAGTATACATGTGTTCCGCTATGAAATTTTGGCAGCTTTCGGTTATTTGCAGAAAAGCGCATCGAAAGCCACCTATTGAATTGCACTGAAATTGAGATTGAGAAAAAGGTTTACCTCTGTAATAAAAGTATTTTCTATTTTAATTAAAATCATGCCTATTACGGTATCCGACGGATGCCATCCGCACGGATCTAATCCGATTCACACTGTCATAACAAGCGAATGAGAAGGATTAGATTCATGAGAATGGGATCCCTCGGAAACAGACCTATTCCGGTCCGACAGATACCATTCGCACGAATCTAATCCTTCGCACTCGCTTATTCCGACAGTGCGAATCTGATTAGATCCGTGCGGATGGCATCCGTCGGATACCGTAATAGGCATGAATAACTCACAAAATAGGGATCACGTATAATTTGGTCTTCAGCGCGGTCAATATACTTTCCCAGTAATTCGACTTTTGCGCAACGCTGTTGGCTGGAATCCTTCGCAAGGGTTTCTAGCTCATGCAAATTATGCTCATCCATGGCGAGAATATAGTCATTGTTGTAGAAGTCCATTATGGTAATCTATGAGGCATTCGAAATGTATTGGGTTGTAGACAATGTACTTCAGCAAGTATGGAGCATGTATATTACCTGTCTTCCCACATGATCTGTTGTAAGGCTATTCTCTGCCAGTACCTTGATACAGCGATCATCTGGCTTACGGCCTACATTCCACGTTCTCAGGCCAGCGCTGTCCACTTCCCAGCTGAGATCGTATTCTTGTACCCAGTGCTTCATGACGCTTTCCGCCATTGGCGAACGACAAGTATTGCCTGCGTACAAGACTTTTGTTAATTTCAACACCTGTTTACATACACACATACGTACATACATATCTCAATCCGTAAATCTAAACTTACCAATGCAAACGAATAGGATTTTCAAGGACTTCATGTTTCGATTTTATCAAATACTATTAAAATTTAATATTCTAAAGTTAGGGAAACAATATTCATGATGAATATAATTTAGCATGTTTCTTAGAGGCGATTTATCAAATAAAGCGAAAACTTACATAAGAAATTTTGCTGACTTTTATATTTTTCGTTTTTCACAAAAAGAAAATCAAAGAAAATCTGAAACAGTGGAAAATTTTCAGATGAAAAAAGGTGAAAAATTATTCACTTAAAAGAATTTCCTATGAACTTGGGGTATCACCATTATCCTTCAATTTGTGTTTCCAGTTATGAAATGGCGGTCGAATCGTTTCATCCCACAAATAGCAAAACTTGATGGGTCTATTCGGGGTAGGGCCTCCAATCAACCCATGTATGGCATGCAACCATACTTAGTTCCTATAATTCTTCGCCAACACGTTCCGCCTATGTATTTTTGATGTTGCTGAGTTTGGAAAAATGATGGTGACAGTGCTTTGCCAGATAAAAATCTGCGTCGTTCTGATTACGTAGACCCGACTGTCGTGGTATAATTTTGATAACTACTTGCACTTCTTTGCATCACTGTGCTTCGCCCTATACTATAAGTTATTTGGCAAAAACACAATTTTTGTTTGCATTTTCTTTTTTTTAAAAAATATCTATTTATTTCTTATGCTTTCACAAAAGGGGTTTTGCATATATCACGTATATCAGCTGGTTTTCGTGCATTGAACATTTAATTTCACTATTAACATGCCTACTAATTTAGATTCAATTGCTTTCTTCTTAAACCTTACCAGCCACAGCTTGTTCGAAAAACGCCGCACACGCTTTAACGCATTGCTGATAAGCTTTTTCGAAACCAGCATCGCCTCGTTGCTGAAAAAGTATACAATGTTACATATTCATCGGCAAACATAGTTTAGTTTAATTGCTTCAATATTCCACTCACATAGTAAGGATCCACGATGATGCGATCACTTTTATCCAGCCCGAAATCACCTAACATTAGCAACTTAGCTTTGGAATTCGCTGGCGCTAGCGACCGCAAATCGCCCATATTTTCCTCATCCATGCCGAAAATGTAGTCAAAATCATGAAAATCTTGCTTCTTTATTTGACGGGCTCGATTGTTGTAGGGTAAACCATGTTTCTTCATTGTGCTCAATGCTCGATGATCAGGTGGATTGCCACGATGCCAATCGCCAATTGCAGCAGAATCCACTTTCCAATCAGCGGAGGCGCCGGCTTTTTTCGATTGTGTCAATCATTACCGCCTCGGCAATGGGAGAACGGCAAATATTACCTGCAATGAATGAAACTTACATTAAAAGAATCGCGACAATAACTTCTCCGCATACCTAAACAGATCATCAAAATCTTCTTGACCATCTTCGTGCTATTTAATTTTAAGTATTTCTCTCAAATATGTCTCAAATCTATTGCACTGTTGTTCAATTTGGCTTTTGATGTCCTCTATGACATTCGCTATCAAATCATATGGTTACGACGTAAGCACGTTGTCTTGTTTAACGTCACGTACAACTAACATACTGTTAGCATTAACCTTTTAGGGGCTAAGAGTTTTATTAGTTTCGTTCCTCAACTTTAATGATGCAACCTGTTAAATTATCAAAAAAAAAACTGGTTAATCTGTCAAATACAGCGTGGATGCCAGCAGTTTTTTTT